GCAGCAGTGGCGACTTGGGGACGCGGCGGGGCAGAGCAGCTGAGCTGCTCTGCACCTCTTCTCCAAGTCTGCCACTGGTCAGTTTCAGCAGTGGCAGCAGCGGACTTGGGGAAGCAGCTAGGAGCAGCTCCAATTGTCCGGTTGGCCATAGCACTTCCGGGTTCCAGTTGGTGTCGGACTATCGGGAGTGCTGGACTACTGGATGCCAGACAATTGGAGTTTTACTGTACTTTAAGAGTTAAATAAAAATGCAGTGAATTTCTGATTTTTTTTTTTTACTTATTTTTCAGATCCTGTTTAAGGATCTGATCCTATTATTGGCTCTGCATAGGTGACACATTTAGACCACATGGATCCTCATTGGAATCCATCCCTGCAGAACTAGTTGCTGGATCAGGCCTTCGGTATTCTGAATCTTGGTGCGATAGATAAGCAGCAACTATATTAAATGTAAGATACACATTTAAGATGTGTTCTTAATAGCTATCAGTTGGAGCTAAAGTGTTCTCATTTATAGCTGAACTTTTTATTAGGATGAGATTTATGTAGTAATTTTGATATTTTTAAGGAGTTATATAATTTTGCTACAGTTAAACACTGAAATGCCTTAAAATTAAAAACAGTAAATGTAACATAACTACTTGTAATTACAAAAGACAGGAGTTAGTTTCAGACTTCTAAAACAATAACAAAAACCATGAAGAATTAATTCAGTGGAGCATGAAACAACTTCACAGCATATGGAAATAAATTTACAATGTATGATTTTCATGCCAGGATCCTTAGGTTATCAGATAATGTATTTCCTTTCAACGATTATTCAGCCTTTTTTTTACAATAAGAGTTTCAGTGTGTATTTCATTACAGTATGTACTGTGTGTTGTACACCCATTTACATATTACTTTTTCAAAAGAAAAAAGGCAAGAAACTAATATTTTAAGATAGGCAAGATTTTGTAGTAAGCTGGTTTATAAGAGCACTAGACCAGGGGTTTTCAAACTTTGGGTCATGTCTAGTAAGGATAAACTGCTAGCTGGTTCCGAGGTGCTTTGTTTACCTGCATCTGCAGGTACAGCTAATGGCAGCTCCTAGTGGCTATGGTTCACCATTCCTGGCCAACAGGAGCTGTAGGAAGTGGTGTCCCAGCCCACACCGCTTCTCGCAGCTCCCGTTGGTCGAGAACGGTGTACCATACAGCTCCTGGGAGCTGCAACTGGCCATGCCTGTGGATAATCAGGTGAATAAAACATCACGTGGTTGGCTAGTGGATTACCTTACAAGCCACATCCCAAAGTTTGAAAATCCTAGTCCCCCGGAAGTTGCCGCCAGCTGGGCAGCAAGGCCCCAGGCATCCCAGGGAGCTACCATCCGCGGAGCAGCACTACCTTCACTACTGTGGGTAGTCCCAGGGAGCCCCTCAGACTTTCCAGCCCCCCAGTCCTGATTCCTGCACCCCTTACCCTCTGCCCTAAACCCCCACAAGGACCCAAGGAATGTCAGATGAATTTTCTAGTGCAGGAGTTTTTAAACTTAGATATTAGCATTTTGGTGGAATAAACTATAAAGGAGAATTAAGAATCTGGATTCAGACCACAAACTGATTCCTAGTAAAGAGTTTTGTTTTTGTTTGTTTTAGAATCAGATTTTCTACGTTTTCATTCTGTTTGTAAATGCCTTCCATTATAGCGCACTCAGGTCAAATATTTTTCCCAAACATGATATCCCTGTGAACAAATATAAAGGGAATGATCCTGCTCCTATAAATGTCAATGTATATTTTTCCATTAATTGCCGTGAGAGCAAGATTGAGCTCAAAGAGAGCTACTTGTTTGTACAGGTAACTATTTGTTGTTAAAGCTAGTTAGTCAAGTTACAGTAAAATAAAATAAGACAAGATCACTCCAGCTTTTTAAAATGTGTTTTACATATTTTGCACAACGAAGTAGATTTATCAGTTCATCAAAGTGACAGTACATACCTCCTGAGCTAGCGTATCTGATTGGGCCCAAACTTTATCTCACATAGTTGACTGTTACATTTCTTTAATATCACTGTGCTGCAAGAAATTACTCTCCTTGGTGAAGGAGAAATTGGTCATGAAGAAGAAGAAAAAGAGACTGATCATTGCTGCTCCAGATATGACATCTCAGAAACATAGAATGAATTGTAGAGTGGTTTTCTGGCTTACCTCTTTGCCTGAACACCTGATATCTGATCAGTTATAGCTTTGACAATGAGAAAGGGAATGAGTTCCGGCGATTACAGAGATATAATTCTGATTCCCACCTGGAAATAGTAAGAAAACAAAACTGAGTTTGGGGAGAGATTCTGTCTGGAAGCTAATAAAAATGATAGCCATTTCCTCTCAAATAATTAATCTTTGTTAAAATAAAAAACAATAAAACAAAAAACTCTGTAGTGATATTTTATGAAAATAGAACTTACTTTAGGACTTTGAAAAATGTATATATAATGCATAGTCAGATACATTTTTCAGCAAAAACATGTGCATATGTTTATTTTTATATACACATATATATCCTAACTATATATAGAAATAGGTTGTGGAACCTTCCTAGTAAAATAGCTCTTTTTCTTTAATTTTTAAAAATCAGAACTTTTCAAGCTTAAGAAGAGCTTTAAGACAATCAAGGCATCAAAAGTCAGGAAAAAATTAAGGCCATAAATCTTATAAACCAGAAGCAAGAGAAGGGGAAACATAAAAAGTAATTGCAATTGTCCTTACAAATCCTGCAAAGATTTATGTGCTTAAATACAAGCAGATGAGTAATTCCATTTAGCTCAATGGGATATCTCATATGCTTGAAGCATGTGCATAAGGGAGGGTATAACCGATGCAGATAAAAATGTTGTAAACTTAGCAAGTCATTTTTTAAGAGTTAAGAAAATTGTGCAAGAAATCATGTAGTTAGACATTGAGGAGCTATTATTTGATTGTCATGCCTATACTGAGTTCCTTCAAATATTTTTCCTAGTGGAGCAACATAATTTTGTAATAGTGAATATTAATGCATGTAATGTACCATTTTATTTTAGGGACACAAGTCTTCTATTCATACAGATTCAAGTAAAATATGATTAAACAGAAGATGTCTCGGGATAATTTAGAAGTTTTTCCAGTGGATTGGTGATCACTGAAACAACCCAGCTCTAGAACTAGCACTAATTGGTCTTTTTGTTGATAGGGCATAGAGGTCAAGGATTGTGTGGCTCTATAAACCAAATTGTTCCTCACACCTAGATGTGGTACTTCCAGATTAGCCTTGAAGTACATTGTAAGGCTCCTTCTTTTGCTTCTTTTGTGAATAAATAGAGGACGTGACTTCCCTGAACAGTCATTTTTTAGTTGAGGACTAAAATATGCTGCTTCAGTTTGATCGCTTCCTTACGTAACTTTTTTTTCAATAATGGAATGAAAATGTTTAAAAATATGAAAAGTTTACAAAAGTTATTATTTGGTACTGAGTGCAAAGCACCTTTCTGTCTTTTTCTTTCTGATACTTGAGGAAAAAAACACTTGAAAGCATTCTTTTGGTGCTTAACCCACTACTTTCCTTTTTGCTCCTCTCTTTGTTTCTGTCTCTCTGACATTCAAGGCTTGGCTCCTAAACAGACTAAAACAAAAATATAATAGTAATAATTAGATGAAAAATCAAGGATTTTATTTTGTGCATTACCATAACTGTTCATGTGTCTCTGTTGGCTCTCATACTTGGAGAAGTTTAAATCGGCTCGGGGGGATGCCATGTTTAGCAGATGCTTTCTACTCACTCTTCATTATAATCCGATTGAGTGAATGGCAACTTTGAAGTTTGCAATGAAGAATTAGCTTAATTTGTGAGTGACAGGGAACCTACAAGCTTGGAAGACGTTGATTGCCAGAATAAAAACATAAGGCTAGCCAGAGAGAATTTTTAAGAAACCAGACCATCAGGTTTGAAATATGCAGATTCCATGTAACCCAAAAAAAGGAGTTTTAGGAATTTTCAGTAAACATCCACCTTCAGAGAAATAAAATGAAAGCTACCTGATGCCATAAGAACTCAGAGTATATTAGTTGTTCAGTGGAAGTGCTCTCCTAATATACATGATGAAGCAGTATTGTATAGTGAGATCCTTAATGAGTGTAAATCTTGTAGCTCCACTGACAGATGTCTCATGAGAATCTCTTTTTCTCTTACTGATATTGTTGGATTGCTATCTCAGAAAGGTGGTGTTGTGCATTCTGATTCACAGTTACTAAGTTCTTCCACCTCTTGGTTTGGGTCACAAGATGTGAATTATTTATTTGTGATCTGGTGTGCTCTGTGGAACGGTAGGAGTTTTTGGTGCAGTCCAGAAATCCATATATGATGAAAATACAACTCTTGGAAGTGGAAAAGCAGAGGGTAACACTATTTCTAGCTTCTGTGTCTATATATTGGATTATATACGATGTCTAAAGTCTCTCAGCCACTTTTCTTCTGACCTGGTGCTCCTGCTTGCCACTCCATATATATCATCTGCAAGTGGCAGATTCTTTTTTTTTAGTCAAACTACCGTGTCAAGATTTCTGAAAAATGCTGTTAATGTCTTTCCATCAGTCAGAGAACACATTTTATCAAAGACCTTAACTGTTTGATTCTTGAGGATTTGTGTTTTATTTCCACTTGTTGCCAAAGAAACTATTTCAGTTTCAGTAATATCTGCAAGAAGAATGAGAGCACTACAGAATTTATGGGCTCGCCTTCTTTCACCATCTTCCACATGGACAGTGTTGTCCTGGGTCCTCATCCCATACTTATTCCAGAAGTGGAGTCTGAGTTCCAGCAATCTCCCAATGTTCTTAGCAAAATCTCATTTTCACCCCAGGGAAACTATATTGCATTTGCTAGGTGTCATGTGTATTTTAAACTTGTACTTGGATTGACCTAACAGGTTTAGGAACTCAGCGAGATTTTTTTTTATCATGTTGGGGATCGAAATAAGAGGAACGTTTTTCCCACTCCAGTGTTTTTAAGTGGATTAAACTGTACACTGAGATATTATATGTTAGCTAAGATGAAAGTATGTCAGGGTCTTAAAACAGTCCTCATTGGGGCATATCACTGACGAGTCTTGAATATTTTCATCCTACAACTCTCTTGATTTGAAATTTATGTCAGATGCTTGTTGGGGGAGGGATAGCTCAGTGGTTTAAGCCTCGTCTTGCTAAACCCAGGGTTGTGAGTTCAGTCCTTGAGGAGGCTATTTAAAGATTTGGGGCAAAAATTTGTCAGGGGTGGTACTTGGTCCTGCTGTGAAGGTAGGGGGCTGGACTCAATGACCTTTCAAGGTCCCTTCCAGTTCTAGGAGATATGCAATCTCCATTAATTAATTTCTAATTAGAAGTCCTTTAACTTATCTTTTTGTTCTTGTAGTGCTATTGAGTTTCCCACAGCAGGAAAGGAAAGCGTGTCTCAAATAATTAGGGAAAAAAAGTTTATGTACAGTAGCATACTAACCACAGTTCTTCAAGAGTGGTTCTTTTGCATGTTCATATTAAATGCTTATTTTTCTCTGTTCCTCTGAATTCTGCTGTTATGGGACTATTGGAAGCTGAAGCTTTTTAGGCCTATGACCTTGTTTGTAACCACAGCTCAGAGTATTCGGTGCTACAGAGGTTAGTCAGAGAGGTCCAATGGATACTTTTTTGCCAGAAATGATCAATGGCATGGGAGGAGAGAAGGCCCTGTCTACACTAGGACTTTATTTCTAAATAACCCACTCCCAGTAGATTTTATAAGTGGCGCATCCACACTATTAAGCCCATTATTTCAAAATAACGGACCACAGAATTAAAAATCTGTACTCCTGCTTTCCACAAGAAATAATGCTAATTCCAAAATAGTTATTTCAAAATAACAGTAGTGTGGATGCTCCAGTGCCACTATTTGAAAATAATTACATCCCAGTGCTTCCTGCTGCTCTAAGTCCGAGGTTCTGCGTCCATATTAACAGAACCTGCCTCGGGCTAATTTTGAGGATTCCCCATAGTGTAGGCTAGTTTGAATTTGTTAATTTGGGAGTTATTAAGTCGAATTCACTAATCTCGAAATAGTTTCCTAGTGTAGACATGGCCAAGATTATCCTCATAACTGTGAATATAGAGACAGCACTTCAAAGAAAAAAAAACAGAATTATAATAATTTTACATAAATTCACCTAATAAATTGTATCTGAATGATACATGTTGTTCTTGTCATTTACTAATAATTTAATGTAACCTCCCTTTGTTTCCCGTGAAAGCCATCAAATCACGTATTTCACATTAATTGTTAGTGCTTGCAAGGTTCCTATCATCATCATTCATAGAGTGTTATGTACAGGCTTGCAGGGTCAAATCCTAAAAGTATATTCTAACATTCTAAGGTCAGACCTTCAAAAATAGCCTCTAATTTTGCTTGCACAGTTATTGACTTGACACGCACATATGTGGTAATGTTACAGGTAAACAGCAGCAAGGACAAAGATAGAGGCTGGCTGTAAATTTTTCTTTAAATATAAAGCAAAAAAAATTTATTTTTCTAAAGTTCATTCTCCTTTAACTCTGACTTTGCTATTGCTGAATATGCAAGCTTTTGTATATGAATGAGAGGCAATCACAATGGTTCAAAGAAATATATTTTAGGTTTTTAAAGACTGTTTCCGATTCTATTATAATACCTACTTAGAATCTAAATAAAATTCATATATACCTATAGCAACATAGTACATTTAATATAATAGAAAGGATATTTTTTCCCCTTAGCTAGCATCATTTATAGGAGCAGAAATAAAAGCACCACACTGTGTGTGTGTGTGGGGGGGGGGGGTTTATGATTCTGCTTTCAGAATATCACCAATGGCAGGCTCTTCTACCACTTTGTTGCCAAGGGACTTTCAGTTTCACTGGTGATAGAAAATAATTAATTTCCACATGTTGTTTCTTTCCTTCTTTTGATAGGACTGAGTTTCCATCTGCCATCAGATGTCTTTCTGCCTGACTGAGATGCACCTGTGGTCTTTGAAGAATACCTTACATGTTGGGGGTAAATCAACTGTGACCAAATTCCAACCTTTTTCTAAAACAGAATAATGAAATCTGTCAATGAATATTCAACTGATATAAAATTCTGAATACTTACATGAAGTTTATTTTTGTACTTGGGGAAAGCAAATGATATAAAAATAGTATGGTAGAATGTGGCCAGCTTCTGTACTTATCTCATCATAGATATGAAACATTCTTGTCAATAAAGAAAAATGTATTAAGATTATATTGTTTAATTCATGCTTCTTTTTAAGAAGCTGTGTGCTGCTTTCTATAGGTTTCACTGCAATAACTAATTTATTGGTATTCATTCATACTTTCCAGTTGATTGCAGAAGCATAAAATGCACTTAATATGTAACAATATTTTATTGCTCGGGCTCTGAACATTTTGAATGAAGAATTGGTATACTTATGGCCTATTTATCATATTAAACTATCATTCCAGTTTTCAAAGTAATTTGAGATACATGACTAATTATCATTCACGTGGAAAAAACCTTTGTACTTCTAGCTTTGCAAGTGCTAAAATCCAATGCTCAACAAATCACTGGTTTTGAAGAGTATGATACCAAAGCCACATTTATTTGACATATAGTCTCTATGACAGTTGGAACAAGACAAATTCTGGTAACACTAAAAGCCATACAAAAATATGACTAATCAAAGGTTGACTCAATATCCTACACCGTCCCCTATATTTATGAGAAGAAGCATGCTGTAATGACAACTAGAGAAAAAAGTTTAATTAATAGCTAGACTGTCCAGAAATGCCTGGCAACCTAAATAAAATAAATAATTATGATAACTGTAATTCAAATCATATTAGGAACTGTTACATTTTAGCAACATGAAATGTTGCTTCATTTGTTGGGAGAAATCAGATTTTAAAATGACAATTCATTATTTTCATTTTTCTTTGTAATGGATTCTAACCTAAGATTGCTTTTGCTTATTACAAATAATACCATATATAAAATTATATCTGAGGAGATAACTATGTAATAAATTGCAGAGCCACATTATACATGAATATATCACACATCTTGTCTTTAACCTGTTGTTCACTGTCTCTCTCTGCTCTTAATCTAACATTTCAAACCTCCAAACAGCTTCAGAAAACCACTATTTTATTTTTAAATTAGTCTGCCACAGAAATGACTTCCACCTTCTTCTCCAAATGAGGAAGTTCTGCCAAAATTTCTCCTGAGGCCTTAGAGGTCAATGTGCAGTAAAATAGCATCTCTTTAAAATCTAGTGAATTAGAGCACCACATAGCTAGAAATGGGAGCTTTTTACCATTGAAAGAGGAGCTTTCCAAAGTGCACTAATATTATTAAAAAAAAAAAGTTTACAAGGCAGTAGTTGTAACATTGTCAGTCACCAGGAGGCATTGTTTTAAAAGTGGTTTAAATTCATTTCATAAGCTGTATTTTTTTCCATTGACACAGTCACAATTTAATGATATTTTCACTCAATTATGTAGATGAAGACATTGGGATTTATCAATACTATGACAAGAAAGAACCAGGTACGATATAAATTGTATTTAAGGGTTTAAAAAATGTTGAAAACTTTGAAATAGTCTGCTTTGGAAAGAAGTAGTTTGGTTAATGGCATTATGTATAAAATCAGCAATGAACATTTTAATATACAAGGGTCTTTGTATTTCTCTAGAATAAAGAAGCAGTCACACTCTCTGTCCTGAGTAATCCAAATATATTTTTAAACTTTTTATTGCAATAAATTGAACTATAGATAGTTAAATAATTTAATGAAATGAATGGCAAAATAATTGAATTAATTTTCAAGAGACATGACTGAATTCCTTGTCTATTTGGACAGTGATAAACTAAACATCATTCAGGCCTCACAGAGTGTATATTTTCTACTTCACAATGTTGTTTATGCTAGAAAGAAAAATTAATAAATATAAATGTAATGTAATACAGTGTTTCAAATACAGCCAGTCTGACAGTGAGCATTCTAGTATTTTTTTATTTGTTGGAATCCCAGTAGAGGGCATCATAAACACAGAGGAATGCACTAGTGTTAGCCTCCTGGATCTTTACCTGATATCTGAAATAGGCATTTCAGAGTGAATGATCAATTTTCTTTATCTGATTAATCCTGTTAATCCTAGAAGTTTCATGATGGCCCAAAAGGTCTTTTCAGCTACAGTTACTTCCTGTTTCAGACCAGGATAAAGTGGAGGCTTGTGTGGGCATCCCACGTACTTAGCTTGGTGGTTAATATGCTGTCTTCATGGTTCTGATGACAGACTGACTCAGCTTCTCTCTTGGATTCAGTTGCAGCTCACTTCACTATCTGATGAGATTGGAGGCTCGGTAATATTGGCCCACCTGTTGGGCTGCATAAGCTTTTCTTTCACTGCAAATTTAAGATATCTGACTGCAAAGTGAAAAAAATCAGGCCTGTGTTAATTTTGTGTATATTTCTGTAATTTATTAAAATGTCTGACTCTTCTCTTTAATGTATTAATATTTGCTGACAGTGGTTGTGAGAGTTAACATTAATCTTTTCATTCTCTTCTCCTCCCTCCCCCTTTTTTAGTATCACAAATGAAGCATGGTTACTTAGAAGAGAAGCAACAGCTTGTGGAATGTAAGGGCATTTTCTAGGTTGCTTATTATTGTAAGACAACATTATATTTTTAATTGCTGCTGCCCTTGGCAAAACACTAAAATAATCTTTCTTAGTCAAACTCAACTTTCTACACATACCATATAATAGGTATGAATATCATAAAACTAAAGAGCACAAAATAATTCATAAGATGTAACTAAACCTTTCTTCTATAATTGCAGTTTATCTTTTCTATATTTTTGGGCAAGATAGTCAGAATTCCTTCTCATTTCTCGTGTCAAGTAAAAAGAGAAATAAATATAATCCAGGATTCTCTTTATCAAGATTATCGATAAACATCTTAAATAAATGAAACAATTTAAATAGTAACCTAAAGTTCTTCCAATAGGTGTAGTAGAAACATGCTGATAAACAACTGTATTCAGTTTGTTTTTTTAAAATTTACATTGGATTCTATATTCCTATTTCCTGGTTAAAAGACGTTTTAATGAAACTATCACGTTACTATCATGGTGCTTCTAGAAGTTTATCATTTGAATAATAAAACCACAAGTTTTATAACTTCTGAATAGTTACTCCTTTTCATACCACATTTATTCAGTCTCTATTGCATTACAGCTATGAAAAATCTAATTGATTTTATGGGATTTTTCAAAATAAAATTTATACCTTTAATAGTTCTGTTAATACTATATGTGATCATAACTGAATTAGTAGTGTGACCCAATTCTCCCTTCTAATTGGAGTGTGTATCTGTGTTTGGTGGCAGAAAGTATCTATTTTGAGGGAGAAATTGGCCATAACACTAACCTTTATTTTGAAAAATCACACAAACTCAATTAGATTTTTGTTGTTGTCAGTAGCTGGGAATGAGTGATGGGATAGATCACATGATGATTACTGTTCTATTTGTTCCCTCTGGGGCACCTGGTACTGGCTATTGTTGGAAGACAAGATATTGGGATAGATGGACTTTTGGACTGACCCAGTCTGGTCATTCTTATGTTCCAATTTGTCCCATAAGGACAAACTCTCTTGGGTCCCAGACCCCAGTATTCTTGGAGAACCTTGTGTTCAGGAGAACTAGTGAAGATCTGCTATAAAGCAGGTCAAAATTTAAGGAGCCGTATACAAGATTTACATCCTTTGTATGCTGTGGAGTATTGTCCTTCATGGCTTCCCTGTATGATGGGCCCATCTGTTGTGAGCAGAGCCAAGCCAGCGGATACTGACTAGACAGCTGCACCCACTAGCCTCTCTTGTATATATGATGTGTTAGCTACACTAGCTGTGTCGCCGTGATTATTCCCTTGACCTGGCCCACTGCTGCTCTGTGGCACAATGGGAAGATTCCTCCCCTAACAGGCCTCAATGGATTTGTCAATGAACAGTCCAAATATTAGGGCTCTGTGCTGAGATCAGGGCAGCTGCAAAGCACAGAATTTTACATGACAATTTATGGGCCATATCTTTGGTAAGGCAGCACTGGTTAATTTTATACTCAAGTGGTGATTTGGACATGTAATTTGGTATTTATGTCTCTGGCTCTGGTCAACACCGCTGATCAAGCTGTTAGAAGACCAGTCGATGGACTGGTCCAGTCCAGTAGGGCTAAGGCAGGCTCCCTCCCTGCTGTGGCTTCATGTGACTCCCAGAATCAGCAATATGTACCCCCTTTCTGGCTTCTGCATGTAGGGGCAGCCAGGGGACTCCACACACTGACCTCGCCCTCCCCAAATGCTGGCTCTGCTGCTCCCATTGGCCAGGATCATGGCCAATGAGAGTTGCCAGGGCAACAGCTAAAATGGGGCAGTGTGCAAAGCCACCTGGCCATGCTTCTATGTAGGAGCTGAAGGGGGATATGCTGCTTCCAGGAGCTGCCTGAGGTAAGTGACACCTAGAGCCTACACCCTTGACACCCCCTCACACACACTCCAACTCCCTGCCCCAGCCCTGATCCCCTTCCTTCCCTCCGAACCACTCAATCCAAGCTTGAAGCACCCTCCTGCACTCCAGACCCCTCATCCCCACTTCCAGTGCCCACACTGCCAGCAGGTGCCCTCTCCCCCTACACCCTAACCCTCTGCCCAAGCTCTGATTCCCTTCCTGCACCCTAAACCCCCCATTTATGACTCCACCTTGAAATCCACCCTCCCCGCCCAGAGTCTATGTCTCCTCCTGCACCTCAACCCCCTGCCTCAGCTAAGAGCCTTCTCCCATACTCTGAACCTCTCTGTTCTACTCCCCAGCTCCAAGCCTCCTCCTGTACCTCACACCCCTCATACTTGGCCTCACCCCAGAGCCTGCACCCCTAGCTGGAACCCTGACCTCCTTTTGCCCATAGCCCTGTGAAAATGGGCGAGGGAGTAAGGGTGGGGGAGGGGAATGGAGTGAGCCGTGGGTGTGGCCTCAAAGAGCAGGTGAGACATGGGCGTGGCCTCAAAAGAGGGGCAGTGCAGGAAGCAGTGCAAGGGTGTTCAGTTTTGTGTAAGAAAAAAGTTGCCAACTCTATTTGTATATGTAGATAAGAGTTCTTAATTTACACAGTGGCTCAGTGCAAATGTGATCTTACCTGCCTAATTAGAATGGTCATAACGGTTTCATTGTCACTGGCTTGGTCTAATACAAGGGAAGTTGTATGTGCATGTGCTTTTTTGGTTTTGTTTTGTTTTAAATGTTACACGTAATGCAATAATGAAGGATTGTATAACATTTCTATTATAAACTGGTTTTGTGGTAGGGCGTAAACCTGACTTAATTCATTTGGCATGAAAGTAGACATAGAAACTCTGACAGTTCAGAGCTTCTTTTAAACAGTTTAGACTAATAAACAATGAAGAGTGGGGGAGGGAGGAAAGAGAGAGAGAGACTTTATTTCAGTTTCGCATGCTTTTATGTTATGAATTCTTAAGGAAAATGGCTCACTTTTTAAATAATGACTTTTAGTAAGTTGTTAGAATCTGGTCTTTCAGCTATGACCCAACTATTGCCATTAACTCCGAAGGAAGCTTTGCCTCCTTTAATGTTGCAGAGTTAGTATCTTAGGCTAAATGTTTCTAAATTGTTTGCTAAAAGTTAGGCATCTAAATAAAGTTAGCAAGATTGTTATAGGACTGTAAGTATCTATGATTCTTATTTAAGTGAGCTAAGCAGTCATATTCCCTGGCCCTGAATTTCCTTTCTGCCTTCCCCACTCCTCTTTTTTTGTTGGCTTGCATTAGCAGACACTTAGAACCAATGTTTCCAGTAATAAATGCATATATGGCTCAGATGGTGGTAGTAGTAGTGCAGTGCACAATTACCTGTTGACATCTATGCATGTATATTTTGTGGGCACAAGTTAGTGCTTGTTTTAGGAATTTTTGCCCTTAATGTTAATTCAACATAATAATATCTAAGATGAGTCAGGAGGGAGTTGATAACTTGCATCTCGGTTAGCTACAAACACAGTGTTTGGGAGACTTTCCCATGGCAAACGCTTAGCAGCTGGGGAGGATATTCTGCCCTGAGAGCTTTACCCATGATTGTCATGCTGAAATCATAGTAGGTGAGGATATTTCATGTTAACTGTCCCCATGACAGAGCCTTTCAAAAGGATATCATTTGACAATAGAAACCATACCCACTTCCCCCCAATTATGGGCAAGTTTCTCTATAACATTTATGTTTAAGATCATTCCTATAGGGATTATTACTTGTTTTCCCACACTAAAAGAAAGAAAAATGCAATTTAAAATAATAGTTTTTGACTGTTTATCTCTCTGTATATCTATTTATTTTATTTGCCAGCTCGAGATTATCCTTGGATACTTAAAAACAAACGCCCAGAAAAACTGCGAGATGCTCTTAAGGATCTGGAGGTACCTTTCAGAAAGTTTCAAGTATGGCAACAAATAATCCGGTTTTCAAACCTCTTTCAACAGCTTTAATTTTCATAAAGGATCAGCCCTTCTGGTGATGATGAATGTGCTTTTGTCCGGTGGGCTGTTCCAAAACAGTTGCATCTTTGTTTGTGTGGCATGCTGATCTCTCATGCTTGAAAATCAGAAGCACCTTAACCACTGGTGACAATGTGTATGGCCAACTCCCCTCTTTCTGTTTTCTGTTGTTCTTCAGGAGCTGATGCAAAACAGTCAGTGTGTGCTGAGCAAATGGAAGAATAAATATGTCTGTCAGGTAAAATGTTTTGACATGGTCTTGAAATGTTCAGTCAGTGGAGCTGAACGACTATTTGGTGATTGATGCTGAAATGTTATCATGTTAACTAGTATAGAAGCTCACTAGTGTTTTAGTGGAGGGAGTATTTCATTATTTAGATTTTATTTATCAGCAGAAACAGGCAGGATAAAATCAAACTCTGTGGTCATTTTACTAGCAAGAAATAATTAGTAAGGAGCACTTACTAAATCTTGTGAGGTGCTGATCTTGCAAGATGCTAAGTGTCTTCATCTTCCATAAAAGTAATGTGATTTGAAGGCACAGGACATTCAGGGGCACTGGAACAATTTTATAGTGGAACCCATGTATTTGGTGTTTGTTATTACAACTTCAAGCTAGGGGTGTGGCTGCACCCCCAGCACTCCTAGTTCCAGCACTACTGCAAACACCTTACAGGATCATACCCAAGCACAGTCAAAAGAGCTGTTAAAATGTATAAAAAAGCCTGGAAAATATTTTCATATTCTATATTTTACGTAGCAAACATTTATATAGATATATATCAAAGCATTGACTTTGAGCTTGGACATGACGGTGATGGGAGTTGTTTGAGAATCTAGATAAACAGCTCACGTGTAATTACAGAGCATAGGGCACTGTGGCAAGCTATGTGCATGTATCTGTCCTCAATATATACATAATACACTATACATAATACACTATATATATAATACATATATATATATATATATAAAACAAAATATATATATGTATATATATAGTGTATTATGTATATATTGAGGACAGATACACTATAAAAAGGAAACATCTGTTCACATCCTCATTAGCATAGAGCATTAGGGTAAGTGGAAACAGTATGGCATATTAGAATGTGTGATCCAGAGTCCTAATTCCTGATTCAGCAACTTGCATGGGAGTTATGGTTAGTATTTTATCACTTGGAACTTTTCTGTATAGCCCTGTATCTTTAGTGCTTATGAGAAAGATGTGCCATGTTTAAAACTTCTTCAGCACTGAAGCTGAAATTATTAAAAATGTTACTAATGTAGTTCTCAAAACAAACTTTGTACTTTGCTCTTGTAAAATGTTTCAATTTTTTTCAGTGAAACTTAAATTTAAACAGTTCCAAATTTGTATGATCCTGTTTGTTAAATATATTTAACGTATCCAAGTTCCATTTATGTTCAAGAAATTTCCAGAATTGTTTTAACAAGAACACTTCATCAGTGAATGCTAATCTTATAAAGCTAATGTTAAGTATGAACTGTGGAGTTATTTGAGGCCCCAGATTTTTTGGGAGGACAGATGAGGAAGGGAAGAAGTATGTGAATCAGAGTTGGGAGGACAGATGAGGAAGGGAAGAAGTATATGAATCAGAGAGGCTGCGTCGTGATCAGCTTTAAGTGTCCCTACCCCAAAAAAGTGGCTGTTCCTATTTTTTGTTACCCTTTTGCTATGTATCCTTACTTGTTTCTTTCTACTTAGTCTCCCCATATCTTTTTTCCTTCCTGTCACATCCCCGCCTCTCTAAACTCTCGCTCCTTACTTGTATGGAACACTTGTCCTCTGAAGAGCCTGCTGCCATTTGTAGTCTGTACTTTAAGGACTGGCTCCTTGAATTTTGGAGCTTCTTGCCAGGGGAGTTCTTCAAGCCAGAATTATGTCACTCCTCCCTTAAAATGCTACATCATAGATTCACCAGCTACCTTATGTAAAACTCATTTCTTCAACTTGGGTTTCTCTCAGGAAATTCTTCACATACATACACACAGACTTGCACACAAAACAATATAGCTATTAAAGTATCTCTCTTACAAGGTATGGGTGAAATTGACAGGAGAGGAAAAGAGAGATTGCTATATCAACTTTTAAATATATATTCTGACTATATTTTGCTTGAAAATTAGCCAGAGGTGAAAACAAAGGTATTAGTAATAGTTACTTCTGTCTTAAGCAATTTCCTTTGCTTTCTCCTTTACTTAAAACATTTTGCATTTGGGATTATCACAGTTCAAACAGAATTTTATACAATAAGTAACTAGACTTGAATTTTCCCATAATGATGTAGAAGATCCAGAAAACATCCAGTCAAAACGTTTGTGTTATCTTGCTCTCCGCCATCCTCATAATAAACTGTTTTTCTTCAACAAGTGAAAATAAAACAGAGGAAAATGAATATTCTGGGAGAGTTCTTCTCAAGTAGGGCAATTTGCAAAATTCCTACTTATCAATTCTTTTTCATGTCATACAGTATCCTACACTGAATTGCTACTTATTTCTCCCCCACAGATCTGGTGAAAGGGAGTAAATCCCTCCCTTCATGAATTGCCCAATGGAAGATGTGCAAAGCACTGTAGTCTCTCACAACAGAATGCCATATTTTTGAATCAATGAATTATAAAAAAAATTATAAAAACACTTAATATTATTTTATTTGCTGGAAAAGAGTAAATTCCAAAAATATTTGAATCTCCAGGCTCTTACCAACCTAGGGAACAATAAATTGAGACTCAAACAAATGCACATACACAACTACTAAAATTAAATATTCAGTCATGTTAATTGTGTGTGCAAATGACAGTAAGACTGCATGCACAGTACTGCAGTTACACATAGGGTATGTCTACACTACCATCCTAGTTTGAACTAGGGTGGTAATGTAGGCATACCGCACTTGCAAATGAATTCGAACCCCGTGCCGCGTGTAGCCGCGCGGCACGGGGTTCGAACAAGCTGGCATTTAAAAATGGCACCGGCCGGCTTATGCAAATGAAGCCCGGGAAATTCAAATCCCGGGCTTCATTTGCAAGTGCGGTATGCCTACATTATCCCGCTAGTTCGAACTAGCGGGGTAGTGTAGACATACTCATAGAGAGTAAGTAGGCATGCAAATCATATGGTCCTTTGTGTGCACATACTTCTGGACATCTGACTTCAAAACTCTAAATTGAATCCAGCTGCATGCCATTGTCTAGAACTACCACTAAACCATAATGTCCTAGTTCTGCACTTTTTTTAAAGTGTAATTTTGTGTCTACTCTCATCACTTTTTCCTATATGATGAACATCAAAGGGACCAGAACTTCTGTAAAATTGGGAAGAGCCACTGGTACCAGAACTTGGGAGACAAGGAGCTGTGCCCCCCTTTTTTAACATGAATGTAGTTTGGGGACAGAGGGCAGGGTTGCCCTCTAAACTGGACGGGAGCAGAGCAACATTGGCAGGGACTACACAGTGCAGCAATAGAGCTGACCCCATTATCAGCTGCCGCTCCGCAAAGTGCACCTCTTGCTAGTGGTGCTCCATACCTGCCTAAGGTATGCAGTGGGGAGTGGAGGCAGCATCATTCCCTGTCCCCTTACTATGCCTTAGTTAAAAAGTGGGGGGCATTGTCCCCTGGAAGCCCCCCTGTCCAGTGCAATTGACAGACATGGCACTGGAAATTTTTATATTTATATGATTTCCTTTGCCAAAAAAATTCGTTGGTTATATTCTTTATTCTTGCAATACTGTAGATACATGTGACTATTTTTTGTATCTTATAGAAATACAAAATGTGCGAGTTCATGCAAACATAACCTAAACAAGTACTCAGAGGGGTAGCCGTGTTAGTCTGTAACTTTGAAAACAACATGGAGTCCCATAGCACCTTGGAGACTAACAAAAATAGACAAGTACTGTGAATTTTTTTGAAAGGATTGTGGCGGTATTCCATTTAAGAGAGCTTAGTGGAGTCCTAAAGGACTGAGCTCTCTTCTTTAGCTCTGTCCTTATTAGTTCCAATAGCATGTGAATGTATACCATGTTAGTACTGTAGTTCTAAACCCAAAGTTTGATGACCTGTGATGAGCTGCTGAAATAATCCTGTAATCTTCTGTTAGTTGTTGTCAAAGAAGAAAATAAATAGACTGAAATGCTTTGACAGAAAAGGAAGGCGAGAGGTTTTTCCAGTAAAATGTCATTATTATTTATAAATAAATTATTCTTCCTTCCTATTCTGGCCAGGAATAACAATTGAATGTTGTCAATTAATTTCACTAACATTTTAATTAGAATGTGCTATTAAGAAACTGTAGCTACTTTTCACTTGTGGTATCATTCCTCAGTGTTCTGGAATGCTTCAAAGTCTTTTGCCACAAAAATGAGAATTCAGTGCTGTGATATAAAGCTATTTATTCAGCTTTGGTGTACAATGAATATTTGCAAAACTAATGAGGGCTAGCTGAATAATCTAGTTCCTAACTTCTTGGTTTTTACCTGCACATTTCAGTGTAGGATTAACACATGCCAGTATTTACATATTTTATTATATGAATGCACAATAGCTGAAGTGAATATTGGCAGCTAATAATAAGAATTTTGCATTTTAACTTAGTGTTTGATTTTATTTAAGTTGCAATTTGCATATGTGCATAAATCATAGGATCATAGGACTGGAAGGGACCTCGAGAGGTCATCGAGTCCAGCCCCCCGCCCTCAAGGCAGGACCAAGCTCCGTCTACACCATCCCTGACAGATGTCTATCTAACCTGTTCTTAAATATCTCCAGAGAGGGAGATTCCACCACCTCCCTTGGCAATTTATTCCAATATTTGACCACCCTGACAGTTAGGAATTTTTTCCTAATGTCCAATCTAAACCTCCCTTGCTGCACTTTAAGCCCATTACTCCTTGTCCTGTCCTCAGAAACCAAGAGGAACAAATTTTCTCCTTCCTCCTTGTGACACCCTTTTAGATATTTGAAAACCGCTATCATGTCCCCCCTTAATCTTCTTTTTTCCAAACTAAACAAGCCCATTAATACTCTTAATGTTACAGTCGTTTGCACATTTAGAACTTACTGGTGAGCTGGGATACAGAGCAATATGTACTGACGTAGCTTGTGCAATTAGCTGCTAGGCATGTGCACGCAAGTAAGCTGATTTAGCAAGATATATGGTGATACATGCCAGGGTATCTGATGTCAGAATCAAGATATTATGTGAATACAATATATG